AGATGCCGGGATTGCTCGTGCTCTCTTGCACCAACCACCCCGTGGCACCAGGTGCTGACGGTCAGATGGCTTTTCGGGAGCAAAGTGACCGAAGCCCGAGCAAAGACTCGTGATACACCAGCCGGCCTAGGGGACATGCCTTCAAGAGCAATAGAAGCTGAGCAGCAGGCTGTGCGCAGTGCTTCCTCGGTTCACTGACCGGTCAGGATGCAACTTATGGTTCAAGGCAGTTCAAGGTCCGCTTCAGTCGTGTGTAAACCCTTAATTGGCCTCGGCCCCATGGGCGTCAGCGGCTCCCCCATAGAGACCTTCTTTCATCCCCTGCCTGGAGTGCCCTGCACTGAAAGCAGCACGTCGTCACGTCGTCACGTCGTCACGTCGTCACGACGTCACGACGCGTCTGCGGGAGATGGTCTGGGGCGGAGGGTTGTGAATTTTAACAGACTATAAAACCTTTCTTAGGCTGTTCAATTGACCTGAACCCTATTAGGGCTCTGCCGCCCGAGCTCTTGAAGAGCAGCTGGCCGCGGACCAAGTTGCCCTGCAGCGCGAGTTCAGTTCTCAGCTCTAAGCCTCTAAGCCGAACTCCGAGGCCCCCCCATGTTTCAGGGCTTTGGGAGGCTCTGCTTTGGGTTAGTGCTTCGGACTTTGCAAAAGTCTGTTGGATGTCAGGGTCTAGCAGTCTATTTCGAGTGAGCCCGAAGCAGTCCCTGTGCTGCTAGGTGCCTAGTAGACCGACAGCAGGCGTGTGAAACTCAAGACCTTGAGACCTTGTGGCCTTCGCCTCAGCATGCTCAAACGTTGCACCCTGAATTCCAAGCCTTAGTGCAAAGGCTATGCCAGTCGTGTCGGCCAACCTCTGGAAGCACGAAGTCATCGCCGACATCGATGTCGTCGATTTGCTTGTAGGATCTCGCGTTGCATTGCTCAGGAATTGACAGGATGCAGAGTTGGACTGGCGGTCTTGCTTTACGCATGGCGTTCTTTTGTCACGTGGTGACGTGGTCTGTCCCAGGACAAATTCCGGTGATGCTCCGTGTTCTTGGACGCCTTCGTGACGAAGGTTGCACTTGGTTGGACGTCCATTCGTTTGTTTACTGCGTTTTTCTGCTGAATCGATTTTGGACTCGCCGCCAAGAATACCCCAAGCCTCAAGTTGCCATAAAGGCCGTAAACCTCTGCCCAAGCCCGTGTTACATCCTGCAGACCATGTGAGATCCTTAAACTTTTTAGCCCCAAAGCCCGCCAAAGCCCCAGTCAAGTTTGACATCCGGTTCAGCAGTGAAGGTGGGAAGCCTTGCAGTGTTGCAGGAATTTGGAAAGAAGGCGTGCCGGGAAGAAGGCGGAGAGACTGCCAGATTTCCACCCCATCATCCAGAGCCAATGGAAACCACCCTGCCAGCCCAAGGCCTTAAGAAGCCAAATCTTCAAATCCTGTCGATCTTGCAAACTACTTACCGCTGGAAGCGTTCTTTCCAAACTCAAGGAACCTATAAATTTTGGGTTCGCCAACACGTATAACACGTGCAGAATCTGGGTATCCGGCTTCATGAAGCTGAGAGCCCGTCGCGGCTCATGGCAGGGGAGATGGGGAGAACTTGGCAGGGTGGGGGGGGGGGAGGAGGGCTGACTTTGGGGGGTGGCTTTGGGGGCTGAGTTTTCTCTCGCTGTTTGTTGTGCTTGGGGAGGGCCTGCGGATGGCCATGCTTGTTTCTTGCCTTTCAGGGGCGAGTTGGCTTGGTTGAGTGCAGGAGCTTGCGAAGCTGCAGCTCCAGGGCCCTGAGTGCTCCCCGACAGCGTTGGAAGCTTTCGAGCCGGACAGGATTCCAAAAGACGGTCATGATAATAACAGAAAGCCCTCTCGGGCCTTGAAACCCCAAGCCCCAAGCCGCAAGCCAGTTAGTCCCTGAACGCTTTAGCCCTACAGAAAGTCAAGGGTTGTACAGCTGCTTGCAAGAGGTGCTTCGTGTTGCAAAACTACACGCATAGGACATAGGAGAAATACCAGACTGGATGTATGCTAGTGCAAACCATTCATCCAACGTAGAAACCTTAACCCTACGCCCGTGAACCACTCAACTCTTTTGATCGACGCCGGTCGGAGCCGAGCCGGCTCCATTTCAGCCAGCTCATGCGAAGATGGCGCGATTGGCAATGGTGTCCTTGGTCCAAACCGTGAATTTTAGGGATTCGAGCGAACCTACGCGGCTACGCAACCATGCAACCCATGCAATAGAAACCCAAACTTTATGAGACCCCACTTTGACTTTGACAACATTTCCTGACTGCTTGGTTAAGAGTTAACACATGGGGAGGGGAAGGGTTTGCCCTCGAGAGCCGAAGCCGCTGATCTCTTGACTCGCGGACCTCTTGACCCTGAACCCTGGCAGCACATGCCACAAACCCTAAACCCTAAACCCTAAACCCTAAACCCTAAACCCTAAACCCTAAACGCCCTAAACCCTAAAAACCCTCATCCAGCCCAAAGCTCGATGCTCAGCTTCCGCCCCAGTAGGAAGCCGAGGCCGAGGAAGACCACGGTGGGCCGTGCGCGCACCTCCGGGGGCTCCGTGAGGGCTCCGAGGGCCCCTTATAAACCTCAAAGGGGGGGCCGCGTCGTGAATCCGATTCGAGGGCTCCGGCTCACAGCTTTGGGATTTTGGGGAGAGCGTGCAATGTGAGAGTTGAAGCATGCTTGCCAGAGCCCAGCTTGCTTTTTGAGTATAAGACGGGAGCACGGCCCGAGCACATGTGCAGCGATCTGGCACCTCGGACGGAGGCCGCGCCCAGCGCCCAAGGCCCTCGTCGAAGCTGTTGCCGGCCTTGCGCTGGTCAGACGCTCAACGCACTGTTAGCACCAAAAAGCCAGACTTTGACCTCGCTCGAACACTCAGAACATTCAGGGTCTGCAGCGCCAGAGTTGAATTTACATGCACAGGTTCTCACAGGTTGCCGGAGCAGGTTGCGCTGTGCTCGAAGGTAGGAAGTGCGCAGGAAGGCTACAGGAAGTGGCATCTCTAGGAGACTCTAGGGCCCTTACATTGAGGCCTCTTAAAGGAAGAGGTCTGAGCCCAGCATCCGAAGCATAGTGCTTTCGAAGAATGGGTCTGTGACCGTGCAGCCGTTCACGGCCTTATGGCTATACCATTCTGCTAGGTTAGTGTGACCTTCGTATCGAGGGCCGGGGGACGCTGAGGACGATCAGGGCGAAATTGTGAGCAACTGTCCTGTTGAATGTCTGCTCTCAAGGTCCCGACGGGTGCCGAAAGCAGCTCCACAGAACCTGCGCCCGGGCCCAGCTCCTGCGAGTCTCTTCGATTCTCTGAGGGTCGCATGCGCAGAGATGCAGGCTAAGGGTCTAACTATGTCTAATTCTCAGTTCAGAAGTGTTGCTTCGGGTTTAGGATTTAGGGCTGTAAGTTCGGGGCTTGACATCTTTGAGGACATCCTTTTACGGGCAGCCCTTCTGCTCAACCGGACTTGGCCGTTCTTCTCTCGGGCTTGTTGCTTTGCTGAAGAACTGAATGCGCCGTGTTCCCTTGCGCCTCGCAAGGCTTAATGACACTGTGGGCATGAAGGCTCTGGCGGCCATTGCTTCAGGGGCAAGTTGGATAATAACGGCATTCGGCTCCAGCCGTCCACCGCCCTTCCTCAACTTCTTCCATTCATTTGACTCCACGACAACAGCATCAGAAGAGAGCCCATTGTGCCCCCCATTTCGAGACATCATGCTGCAGCCAGGGAGCCACAGTTGGGTAGACATTCCTGGCAGAGGGTAAGGCCATGATGAAGATCCCAACTGCAAGCTGAACAGTGAAGGATGGGATTTTGATTGGATGCATTCGAGATTCCTCCTTCGTTCCGATAACCTCAGCAATGCCCCCCCACGTCGAAGCTCGCAACGCTGAACTTCGTTAAATGCCAACCAGTTCATTCCGCGACCTGGACACCCGCAAGTTCGGAAAGCCGTGTTCGCAACTATGGAAGAACCTACCACAAGGAAAACACGGGCAGCAGGCCAAATTTGTAAAACCTCAGACGACAGTAGCCAACATGCAAGGGCTGTCCAACGATCCAATATTCTTCGCGCAACAACTCGCCTAGCGCCACCCCCTTCAAGGCCATTTCGTGCCCAGGAAAGCCCCCACAAGCAGCAAAGTAAACCCAGCAGAATAGGTGTAAGCCTGTATTGGCCTTCCCCCTCTCGGGGCACCTTCCGCCGCCCTTGCCAGAAGCTTTACCGCTGGCAAACTTCGCACGAAGGCTTAGATTCCAAGGTATACGGCCCTTTGTGGCCTAGCTCCGAAGCATGCCGAAACCCTCAACTGTCCCGGTCCTAGCTGTGTCGAGGGGGCCCGGAGAACGAACAGCCTGGCGGTGTGGGTCTCAAAATTGAAGGCGCAACTATTGGGATGGTTGATTGATGCCTTGGCTCCCAGTCTGCGCACCCGGACAAATCCGTCGCAGGATCATTCTGAACGTCCCGCGTCGGGCCTACTGTCACTTCGAGGTTCTTCACTCCAAGTCTACTAGTCAAAGTTTCATCCATGCACCCACAATGCCCATGCACGCCATCCCTACCCCCAAACTCCACCGTGGTGCCCTGTCATGAGTGACTCTGTGCTCAACTACTTGCCTCCTTACTGAACAGCCCGACACCTCGATCATGGCCCTTCAGCGCGCTTGCAGGCATGGAGGTGCGTGGCAAACTGGCTTAAACCAAGGCAAAACCATCTCCAAAAGCCCAGCTCTGAGACTCTAACTCTAAGGGCCGTAGTTGGTGGTGGAACTGTATCGGTTGTTGGACCCGAATTCGAGACCACGCAGCCTTGCCACCATTGATCCGCCAGAGCACGTACCCTGAGCCATCCTCTGACAAGAGACATTCGACGAGGTCCTGAAAGGGCTTCAGATGCTTTCGAACTGTAGTGGGGGCTGGGAGATTTCCGAGCTTTACAAACCTATCTTCATAGATCATAAGGCGATTCCCTGATGAGGAACTAGTTGTGGCTTGTGACTGCAGATCTAGGCTTCGCCAACGTCTGCCAAGCAGCACCCGATCTCAGCTCACCTGGCCAGGTGACCCCAAACTCCCCCAACTCCCGCCAAAACTCCCCCCCAAACGCCGGCCTCCCGACTTCCGAAGCATGAAAGCATGAATCCCTCTAGGAACAGCGCATTCCTGTGCAACATGTTGCGGTTTGGGGTTTAGGATACATCAAGCCACGGCAACAGCAACCACAAAGAAGCCGAATTAAAACCAGACCAATCCATTACAGTAGGTTGTACGAGCTGGAAGCTAGTCGGGACACGTCCCCTCAGCGCTTGAAGCCTGAAACCTGCATCAGCAAGGAGGGCCTGGATACGCTGTTGCCTCCTGCAGGCAGGGTCCAGCTGGTTGATGCGGGCTTCGCAGTCAGTTCTGGGACTCGGGTTTGGGGCTTGAGTTCTGGGTTTGGGGCTTGAGATCGGGAAGAAGGGTGCTTTTGCACATGGGTAGCGGGTTGTTGGGAGATCGTCGTTCTTCAGGTTACCAAGATCCTGACGACGGCATCGTGAAAACTTTCCAAGCATGCCTGGATTTCGGAGTTCGGGCTGAAAGTGCTGGGCTCTGGTCTTAGGTCTGCTCGATCGGAGATGAGAAAAGGCCTGAGACGCTCCAGAAGTGGATCAGAAGCAGTACCTTTGTACTGCACGCTTTGACACCTCACCCTTTCCCCATTTGGGGCTCGAAAACTGCGGGACGGCTCACGCCCGGACAGGTCTTTAAATGACCGGGGCCCCTGGCTGCAAGAACCTGTAGGACACTTTCCCGCTACATTTGCCCGCGCCTAGCCCGGTGGCACGATGCTCTTGCTGTCTTTGGATGCACAGTCGAATTATCTTCGCAGTCTTCTCTCGAGAAATGGGGTGGTGGCAGCTTCAACAAGATGTGAAGCCCTGCTTAGGACGGGTTGAGCGCTTGAGCAGAAGGCTACAGTAGACTGCAGGCTGCTAGCCGAAAATGCAAACCCCTCTACGACTCTGCGAGTAGCAAGCCCAGCTCACACCAAGCAGCTGATCTGTGCCAGCCTTCAAAGGTTCAGCGCACGTGCTGCCGAAACACCAGGAAACCCTCGCAACCATGAACAGGCGTTGAAGAACCATAAGTTTTGGGCTTTTAAAGTTAAAGGACCCTAAGCTCTTTACAGTTGCACCTTGTTTTCGTAAGCTTTGTATTTCAGACTCTTGGCCTTTCCAAAAGCATCCGCAACTCGAAGCAGCACCCCGCTGACTCGCACGAAGCCACCGCGGAGGCCAGTGTGATCGCGTTCCTTGCGAGGCCCCAGGGACTGCCCTCCCCCGCCCCTGCCCCGCCCCAGTTCTCAACTCACAACACACACAACACACCCACACACCCACACACCCACACACCCACACACCCACACACAAAGAGTGCTGTGCACCCATTTCATTTGTTATTTTCGGTGAAGGCGAAGAAAAGGAGCGCCTCAAGAACACAACAGGTGCACAGCTGAAAGGGCCTTTCCCCTCTTAGCAAATCCCCTACGCTATTCCACATGTTTGAATTAAATGCTATAAGAAACGCAGAACATGGAAAGGGGCTCTTTTCTCCCCCTTTTTTCCACAGGTTGGCTCAGACCCAAGTCTCGGCTCCAGGGCGCTCGCGGCCATGTCTGCGCACAAGTGCAGCACCCGCCGCCACTCACCCGCCTCTGAGAGGAAGGAGGAAGCGAGGAAGGGAGGAAGAGAGGGATTTGTGTTTATGGTTTCTTTCTTCTCACAGACTCTCACAGACCCCCCCCCCCCCCCCCCCCCGCAAATTGAAACATACTAAAACCGCGCTCTCAAAGCCCCTCAAGCCGCAGCCCTCACATCCCTGAGAAGCGCACCCACAAATCGTCACACCCTGATCTGGGACCTGTTGGCAGGCGCCAAGAGCAGCAGAGAAGGCTGCTACGCCAGGCTCGAGGCTCTCCCTCCTTCGGCACTGGGCATTTGAAGATGTAAATGCACTTCGGTTGGGAAGCATGCGGGAAGCTTATGCCAAAGCAGAACTATCAGAACGTGGGAGGATAGGAAGATAGTCATGTCAGCACCCGAGCACAGGCAGCTTGAGAAGCCCGTGCGATGCGTGCCTTGATCTGTTCAGGAGGTGGAGGGCGCCAGGCCACTGAGAGGCCTTCCTCGGGCTCTTGCAAGCAGCCCCCCAAGCAACCACTCCCTGTCATTCATGAGGCCATTGCAGAACTTGCTGTGCTTTGGTCCAATCTAGGCCATCTAGGCACCAAAATCATCAACCATGAGGTATACACCCAAGAACCCACACAAATACCCAAGCAATTTGGAGAATTTAGGAAGGTCACGGAATGTCACAGACATCAAGCCGACAGATGATTGCAAGCAAGGTGCCCGCATGCGCTGATGGCTGCGCTTCTGAGTCCAGAGTTTGACAGTTAAGGGTTTGCATCAATTCTTGGTTTGGGCTCGGTGCTGTTCGGTGCGAAAGTGTAAAATCAAGAAGCTGCACACATTACATCAGCGACTGTGGATTCACGGGAAGCGGTGTCAGGCGCTGTGAGCCCTACATCAAACCCAGCTGAAGCCCTCACCTCAAGCCTAGTTTGGTAAGCTCTGAAGGCCCAGAAAAGCCCCCTGATCCAAATAGAGTCCGGAGCACAAGGTGATCAGGTTCACCCGCAGTCCCTGGTGCTCCGCTGTTGCCAGCAACTGCAGGGCCCGCCGCCACTCCGCTGCCTGGCACGGTCGACTTCGTGCCCGTTCCAGCTCGCACATCTGGCGAGGCCTCTTTAGGTCAAGTAGAGTCTTAGCATGCTTCATCCCGGGCCAAACGTAACATACAGATATTCTTAGATCCTTGCAGCAATCCCGAAAACTGTCGAGACGGTGCCTGCTCGCACGCGCTGATGGCCGCGCTGCAACTTGTCACGTCTGCCTGTAGCCGCCAGGCCTCCAAAGGGTGACATGAAGGCGAGCACCGCCAGGCGCCCTAGCTTCAACCCACGCTGGCTCAATCAATAGCCACCTCTCAAAATACCCAAATCACCAACGCTCAGCGAAGATTTCTTGAAGTTTCTGAGCTTGCGCTGGGCCGACAGGAGGCCTCCAGGTCAGCCAACAGCCTCAAGGCTTCTTCCCACCGCACGGCCTTCTCCTGAGAATCGCGGGGTTCGAAGTTTTCAGGATCCTCACGTTTAGTTTTAAAACTGTTAAACGCAAGCTCCTCCAAACAACAAGTGTCAGGGCTGAGGGAGCATGAGGTTTACAATTTTATGGAACACTTAAGACTGCACCAAACAACCTCGTCGGACCCTTACTTTCACCCTTACAGTTGCCAGCGGACAAAGGACATGATCGGAAATGCCTGTGGTGCACTGGCCTCGGGTACTGTACTCCTGGGTTAGAGAGATGATGTACTGGCACTGCCATTCTGTCATCCGCCGCGACTACAGGAATACGTGCGCACGATTCAACGGACTTAGATTCGACAGAGGCTGCAGCTGCTAACCGCTTGTTACCAGCGGCCAGCCCCAACGGAAATGCATGAGGTACAACATGGGAGTAGTCGATATACCACGGTCTCGGTGCAAATGCGAATTACAGCTCGTTTTGGATTTTGAGCAAGTTATGCATAAACCAAAATGGCCCAGAGAACCCGACCCCAGACCCCAGTTCACCTAGTTCACGTGAGGGTCGCATGCGCTGATCCCGGCGCTCAGCACCACGATGTTGAGGCGCAGTTGGCAGGCCCGGGCTGAGGCCAAAAGCGCCAGGGCTTGATCCCACTGGCTGGCCTCCGATTTGGGTTTGGGTTCCTTGCTTTGGGGCTTCTTTGGGCATTGAAAGGTAAGGCTTGGGGTGCAGGGCATGCGCACGTCATGCGTCGAAACCCACGAGAAGGTGGCATTTTTGAGGGGAAGCCAAAACAGGTACAAGCCAAGAAGCCAAAACCCTGAACCGCCCTCTGAGCCGCTGAAAGCCAATACCAAAGAAGGGCCCGCACAAGCATGACGAACCCCCAATGAAGCTAAAAATCCCCTCTGTAGGCCTTTAGTAACACCAAAGAAAGGCACACTAAGCATGACAACCCCCCCCCAAAAGCCACCTTGACGCCAAGCAAGCCCTTCTGTTAGCCTTCTCGCACGCGCTGACCGCGGCCCCGCAAGTCACCACATCTATGGCCAGCTGCTGCTGTTCTGCCCCGGCCACCAGCAGGAGCGCCTGACAAGCTTCCACAAGTTTACTCGGTGCCCAGGGCTTTTAAGCTCGCAGCGTGCGCTCTTGGTACTGTGTTTTTGGTTCCACACAACCACAAAGCAGTTCATGCACGAAGCAACAAATTCCTGAACAGCGCGATGAAGAAACATGGAAAAGCTGTAGCAGGACGTAGAACAAAAGAGAGCGGCGCATGTTGCCGAAATAACCAGTTCCCACTGCTCAGCTCCCACAACTACTGCCGGCCTCCTGCCATTGCTCCCCTCGGCCGCATGCGCTGATAGCAGCGTTCCTGGGCTGGCCCCCTGTTCAAAAGGGCCCTGGCTCTGGGAGTGCAGATTGACAGGGCTTGAGGTGCCAAGGTTGGTGAGGTCCGAAAACTCTGTCGGATGCACACGGAGAAAGTGAGGGAAAATCTCATCTTTGGGCGCGAAGAAATCAACGTCCTGCCTCCTGAAAGAGACTTGTTGACCGTTCGGTGATCATGAAGTTCCTACAGCAGACTCCGAGAACCGGAACCTCGTTCCATGCCGTGGCTCACAGCAATAATGCTCCGTGGAAGGCGCCGAGTGCCCATCTCACCCAGAAGCTGCAGGGCCACCGAGGCCTCGCAACGATCTTCGGGGTTTGGGTTCTTGCGGTGTTTCCATGCCTAGGGCTTCCAGGGGCTTAGGAGGAGGTCAAGCCATATCACTCTGCCTTACCGCGTCCCCTCTCACCAAAGGCCTCCTCCCCCTCGAGGGGTTTCAAGGGTCCATGCTGCATCTGATCCATGCTCCGTGCCGCTCAGCGCCGCTGAGAAGCAATGGCGTCCGGGAGAACCGAAAAAGAGCCGCGCTCAGTGCAGTGCAGGGCACGTTTGAAGACGAGGGCAAGGGTCCAACACCCCGAGGCAATGGCCCCATAATGGCACCCCCTAGGGCAGTGGGGGCCAAGCGTCCAACCCTCGAGGCAAAACAGGGCGCAGCACAGCTGGGCATGGCAGTGGGCGGTGGGGCACAAACGTCTGCAATACCCAGACGGTCCACTGGACAGAAGGGGCGCAAAGGCTGGGCTGTCAGTTGCAGAGGTTTCGACCAGAAAACGCGCAAGCGCGACGAGAAAGCAGGCATGTAAGGCCTGGAAAGCAGGAGCTGTACTGCAGTCGCAAAGCAATGAAGGCAGCAGGGCCGTGGCGGCAAAGAAGCGGCAGCCGGCAGAAGAGCCCAGAACACAAGAAGCTGCCCCCAACGCCGTGAATGTCAAAAGCCAAGCCTATGTGGGGGGGGATGTGAGCCATGGCAGCAAACAAAGAACAAATGCGAAGGTGGCAACGCCACACAACCAAAGAGCAGACAAATTCGAGACTGCCACGGGCAACCGATGTAAAACCACCGAGAGCCCAAACCCAGAAGCCCAGCAGCCTGCATATGCCGACCCACCACTAAGACTGCTCAAACCCCCCTCACCCCGGTGCCTGTCCGTCACAAGCGCTGAGGGCAGAGACGTAGGAGATCACGTCAGGCTGCAAGCCCCTGGTCTCGACCTGGTTCAGGGCCGGACTGTTTCTCGGGCTCTAGATTGGGGCAGGAAGAAGCATCCTACGATAAGGCTCCCTGAGGTGGCAAAGGGGGCCCAGGTGCGGGCGACAATTGGCCGCACACAGATACTTTGGATTTGAGTTGAGGAGCTGTGAAGAGGTTTGAGGCATGTTCTAGGTGCATTGGCTTCGTGAGTCAGCGGGCTTTGCTGGAACCCCAAGCTGCCTGCCGCAGGAGCTCCAGAGCAAGGCGCCAGTGCCCACCTTGCTCCTTGGGACAAAACAGGACAAAACGGGAAGTGGTAAGCTCACCACACCCTCATCGCGGATAAGGATCGTCTACCTCAAGAAGGACAAACCGAACTTGTCTCAACTCTTGCATCGCAAGAATGCTGTCAAAGACAGCGCGAGCTGATTCAGAGTGAGCAAAAATGGAAGATGAACCAATTACGAGCATAATTATACGAAGTGCACAAGTTCCGTGGGTTCAGAAACCTCCGGGCCCCCGGAAATTTCGAGCGGGAAGGCATGCTACATGAGGTAGGCCTACCCCTTGTACCCATAGGCATGAGAGGTGCCAACTGCTGGCATGCGGCTGTTTTGGGGTTCTAGACCTACAAGCAGAAGCTCAAAAAAAAAAGGAGCCCGAGATTCGAGGGCGCGGAGCGCGAGGTTGTACGTGAAGACATCGGGCTTCAACTGCTTGGCCTGGGCCGCTCTTCAGAGCGAAGGTGAGTTCCAGGGAGCTGAGCATGGCTCTCCAGACTTGGATCCTAAGAATTTTAGGGGGGGGTCGCGGGCTCCAGAGCTGAAGCACAAGCTCCCTGAGAAGTGTAAGGAACATGGGTGTGTGTAGGGGTGTGTAGCTTCGCCAAGTTTACGCACCCTCGGAACCTACCCAAGTCTCCGGACTTCAAGATTGTGCAGTCCGGAAGTCAGGATGATACTCCCAACAGGTATGCAAGCACTTCTTGCGAATAAATGTGGGCCAAATCGAAGTCGGGGAGAGGATTTGGGTCGCTGGAAGGCCCCTCCCCCCTGCCTCGAGCGTCTCAAGCAAGCCACAGCTTAGCAGCCACAGGCCAGGCCCCTGGCCTCGCTGAACTGCCCCTAAAAAAAAGAGGACAATTCTGAAGTTTACCGGGCTTTCCCCTGTTGCAGCCTTTGATGTAAGCTGACATGGCAGAAGCCCTGGGCTGAAAAAGAGGTGATCTTTCGGCCCAAAACCCAACCAATCCTCGATGCAAGAGTTGCAACATTCTCCAGCACCTTCAATATCTTCAATCAGGCTCAGTGGCAGGCACAGATACCCGTGTTGAATGTCACGATGTCAGGAGCTAGAGATGTGGCTTCGGTCTCCTGTCGGAGTCCAGCAGAACTCTTTCAAGGGCTTGGGATTCTGGCTTTTTGCTGTGGGTGTTGCTGAAGCTTCTTCCAGGGCTGGTGAGGGAGGAGCGGGGTCAGAGGTGTAGGCCGGTCCACTTTTCTGGGGTCGGGTGAGTCTGATGATGAAGGTTCGTGAGTAGCTGAGTAGATGTGAGTGGCACTTTGACAGCGGCTTCCTGCACCATGCGAAGAGCCAAGTCCCAGCGCTGAGCAGCTCCGCAGGCACTGATGGCAGCATTGTACCTGCGACACAAAAAGACCCACCATGCCCAGCTTGAGTGATGCTGAGCGGTTGCGGCAAGTCAAAGTTTAAGGAGTGTATCTGGGTTTTGGCATGTTTTGACGCTGGCTGTCGTCTTGAGCACACCACAAACCTGGAGAGAACCGGGCCCAATTCTAATTTAATCGGAGCACACGAAGATGTCCAGCTGAAGCGCATGCCTCGAGACCTCGGGTTTGGGGGACAGCTCAGATGGACCCAGGGATTTAGGATTTAGGGTTCAGGGTTCAGGGTTTCGGGTAGCTAAGAGAACGGAATGCTCACAAAAAGGCAGCTTCTCCCGCGCCTCCTTGAGCAAGGCAAGGGCCGGTCCCCAGCCGGAAGGTGACTGGCAAGAGGAGATGGCCGAGGTGTAGGTGACCAGGTCCTGGGAGCTGGGGCGCATTTGGGGGGGTGTCATAAAGGGGTCTCACGAAGCCTTCGAGTGACTTTAGGGTTTTTGCACTGCCAGCATCCAACGAAGTGTCTTGGCAATGGCTCTGGGAGTTTACAATTTGAGGTTTGGAACATGCCCACCCCCTCCGTTGAAGAAGAGGCCCGGAGCCCGTTGCCGTAATGGCTGAGCATTTTTGCAAGAAATGGCAATCAGAAATCCTCAGTGTGAGAAATCTCCGGGAGGTGGGCACGTACGCGCATCCGACTCATACCGAGCAACACAACTGTAAGTCAATTTGCGCCGCGTTGAGCCTTGCTCGCAAAACCTTGTGTATTCAGAATAGATGTAAGTATTTAAGGAGTCATACTGTTGCATAAGCAGCATCAGAGTCTAACAAGCTTAAAACAGATTATGACCCGAACAGGCGCAAGCGGCCGAAAGGGAACCAGGTTGCCGGCGCCCTCCTGTGTGCTACGCTACCCTGCGTTTGTAGTGCACAAGTCAACGTTGTGGCCACAGCTCCGGACGACCCGGGCGCCTTTATAGCCTGCCCCAAGGGCAGCTCCTCCTCAGGTCCTATAAGGCCATCCCCACCACCTGAAGCCAAGCCTCCCGACACCCTCAGCCCTAAGCTGCCTAAGCTGGACTAGCTGAGGTTGCTGCCGAGCCTCCGGCTGAAGCTGTTGGGACTCCATTTCCGCCTTGGGACGGTCTCAGCATCAGTCCAGTCCCTTCCATCCTAGACATGAGACGTTTCTTTCACCATGACCTGGAATCCAATCCAATATGATTTGGCTAGGTTTAGGAATTGTATGTAGCCTGATATCACAAGCCGTCCGAGCAGCGATCAGTGCCACCGCCTGCCACCATATGTCCGCATCATTATCCAGACAAGTGCCTCGGTCATGTGGAGAAATCCCACACATCATGCATCCTGTCGTTGAGTTTTCATCGAAGCACCGGTAAGCAACGCAGGCAGCTAGGTGCCATCAAAGGGTTTCCAACGTTGTTTTGGCTAAGCTTCAGCACAGCGCTGCAATGGGAGCATGTCTTCGCAATCCACATCTGACAAAACCGACAAAACCTTGAATAAACTGGCAGCCAGAACCAGGAAGACCCCGCGCTACCCTGGCTGGGTTTTGGCAGCATCTCGTTCGCCATCATGGAAAGTAGCGGGAAATATGCCCCATGTGAGTTTGGAGCGTTTGGGAAGAACTCCGGGGCTGATGACGAACATATCTGGTACGAGTATTTCGGGCTTCCAATTAGTGCTGCTTCTTGTCTTCTGCGAGAACTCGAACTCGTGAACACACACATACACACACTCTAAATTGCCTTTGTGTTGGACTTCGCTCCTCGACAAAACAGACGCAGCCGCAAGTTATTTGAAAACCTATTGAAAACGCCTTTTTACATACCTTTACGGTGCTTGCCTGCATTGACTAGCAGCTTGCGTGCGCAAGTTGCAACTCGAAGAACAACGAAACACTGAGTTTTCTATGGCTCCCAAGTTTTGGGCCTTCGGATGTTGGGCCGTGGTGGGGTTAGGCTTGGGTCTTCTCGCAGCCGAGGCACTGATGGCGGCGTTGTAGGTGACAGTTTCCGGTATAATTTGCTTCTCACCCAGCTCATGTAGTAGAACCACGGCCGTTCGCCATTGACCCTTCTGCTTGCAGGCACTGATGGCCACGTTGTACGTTCTGAGGTTGGGATACATCCGTTCTTCTTCAATAGCTGCAATGAGGAGGCAAGCCTCCTGCCAGCGCCCTGCCTTCTTGCAGGCACTGATTGCAGAGTTGTAGAAAATCACGTCGGCTTGCAGGGATTCAGTTGTTGCGCGGCTGAGTAGCTGCAATGCATGCTCCCACCTTCCACCGCGTTCACATGCTCTGACTGCAGTGCTGAGGGCCACGGCGTCGAGGCGCAGATGCCTCTCTGCTGCGTCCGCCAGAACAGCCAGTGCCACCAACCATTGAGCTGCCCGCTTGCATACATCCAGGAGAGCGTTGTGCACTCTCAGACTCGGCTGGAACTCCTGGAGGGGCATTTCTGCAAGGAATGCGAGCGCTTGCCGCCACTTCGCCGTGCGTCCGCAGGATTGGATGGCATTCTTGTACGCGTTGACACTGAGCTGGGCACCTCCCGCCCTGCAACCTTTGCACTCCAGCATACAGTGTTCAGTGTTGGGTCTCCAGTAGGGCACGTGGCAAGACGTGAATTCTTCAGGGCGCCATGGCACGAAGCATCTGCAACACAATCTGCAACAGCAGAGAGCAGCTGATCCGAAAGGCAACAAATCCCCGCAGACACTTGTGCATTGACCGAAGGTCTAGAATTCGACTGCTGTTTCTCTCTCTTTCTCTCTCGCTCCCTCGCCCTCGCCCTCGCCCTCGCCCTCGCCCTCGCCCTCGCCCTCGCCCTCGCCCTCGCCCTCGCCCTCACCCTCACCCTCACTCTCACTCATTCTCTTTATCTCTCTCTCTGGGGTGAAGCTGGAGTGTCTCCCTCCCTGGGAGGCCTTGGCGGTGATGCGGGAGCCGCGGGGGGCTAAACCAACGGCTGCATCCAGAGCCTGGCGTCCTGTTGTTTCAAGCGCACGACATATAAGATTGCTTTATACAGATGGCCGAAAGATTTCTGCTGGAGATTTCTTAAGGCTGCCAATTGAACGGCAGGGTTTTGAGAGATGCGGAGATTTCTGGCCACAACAAGTTTCAGGACTGGGATTGAGGGTGTGGCGACTGATGCTGCTTCTGCTTTCAGATGATTTCAGGCGCTTACCGCATAACCTTTCAGCCATATACGGCTTAGTACAGAGAGCGACAGACAGCCGTGCATCTGGATCTTACGAAACATCTTCGTAACCCAGACACTGCCAAGCTCGGTTCAGGGCTTGGATTTCTGTTTGGACTCATGCTTAGACCCATGCTTGGACCCTCGACCTGCACAACAGACCTGCACAACAAACGCCCCAGCAACTTCAGAGAATCCTGCACCAGGCCGGCCAACAAGTCGAACCTCAGTTCGCTCTGTCGGAGGCTCAGGAGATCTTAGGGGCTTAGGTTGCCAAGGTTTGTGGCGCTTTGGGGTTTGGAAGGACTTTGGTGGATGGTGTTGGGGCTATTGGGGCTCCTGGGTTCTGGAGATTTACAATGTGGAAACTATGAAATCCTGGAATGCTTGTGCCAATGCTTCGTGTTACAATTCCGAGTGCAAGGCCTGCCAGACTGCAGAACTGTTTTCTGTGATCAAGCAGCAAGCATACAACGCATGGATCGCAGTGTTAGTGACTGTTAGTGACTTCGTGCGGAAGTTGACTGCGACTGGGGTGTCGCCAGTTTTGTAGGAGATAGGATGGCGTGCCCCTGCAGCTGCCCGTGAAGGTAGAGCAGAAAAATGTCCAAAGCCAGAAACGGCGGACTCAGCGTGTGCCGCAGCAGCAACCGACTGGAACACTGAATCCCGACCACGAGCGGAGAGCGAACCGCAAAAGCACCAAAGTCCCTCTCGGGCGCCCTCCGCCATGGATGTTGCCGCGGGCCACGTTGCCAGGTCGTAGTTGCAAGCGTCGGGCGACAGGATGCATGTGGAGTGGTGGGATACTGAATCCATACTCACCCCAAAAATCTTGATCCCTCGTGGGCTCAGGCGCCAGCAAGGAACCGATCTCCCCGGCTCAGCGGCCTGGACAAGCTCTCAAGAATTGAGTCGCTTACTCCGACTGAGTCACTTCGTCCTGCTGGAGATTTGGGAGCCAGGGTTCTTTGAATTCCTAGGGTTGGAAACGCTGAGGAATCATGATGTTGAGTTTAGGATGTTAAGTTTTGGCTAAGACTTCTGCAATGATTGTGCTGCCTCCCTCTCGAACAAGTACCAACAGATATTCATGCTCCCGCTGCGCAAAAAGAAGTTGGTGGTCGCTTCTGAACATGATCCGCTGAACAAGTGTTCCAACAAAAGAAGCTCACACATCCAAGAAATGATTTTCATTCCCAGAACATCTAAGTCCTCCGTATCCGCTCCAACCAGCTTGAACCCACCACAAGGTTAGGCCCCGCCAAGCCTCCGCAGAACACGCAAACTTCAGAAGCCAACTCTTGCAGAACTCGTGAGATCCCGCACTGCATCGGCCTGTCAGCCTGTGCCCAACCGGGACTACCTGCGTTCGCGGAAGCCTGGCAGCTTAACACTTTGGGGCACCGTTTGGGAATCTGGTGGGATGTAGGCTGGGTGTTTGCGGGGGTCTAAAGATCCTGTCGCACCGCCATTGAATGCTTCACGTGTTAGCCATCTTATCGACAATACTTCAGCTGCTTAGACCCTTGAAAGCTAGGCGGGCTTTCAACGCAGAACCGAGGGCTCCTGCGGAGAAGCTTGGGAACAGAGAAAAATCGTGTATGCAGCGTAGTTCTCCCAGAGCACAAGCCATACGAAAGAAAGAGCATCCCAATGCAATACTCACTGCTGTCCGGAAGCAGCACGATCGCCCAAACTCATATTGTGCCCTAAAGCCAGACTCCACAAGGCCCCCCCGAGACCTCAGCCACGAGGTCGCCCTGCTGCAGCGCCAAGCGCTTGACGCCCGCAGGGCCTGAAAGCAAGCTGCACGAGTGAGTCATTTCCCAGAGAGGACCTGAAATCCCGAGATAGGGCCTCAAACAACAACTCAAGTAACTAAAGGACAAGCCTCGCAGCAAGAAGATGGGCTTCGTTTGGGAATGCTGGTTGTGCGTCCACTACATAACTCAGGCTGACACGGCATCTTGGGTGTTGGGAAAGGGGGGGGGAGGGGCGGGCGCATTGGCCAATTGAAATCAAATTTGTCAACTTGAGCCAAGGACAACTTTCAACCTATGTCTGACATCGGCATAAGAACCAGAATTCCCAAGATGAGTTTTCAACAGGGTTTTGTGATGTATTGCTTTTTCTTTGGATGATTCGGCGTGGGATTCAAGACGTAAAGAGTGCTGTGCACCGCGGCACCGCGGCCTCCTGTCCACAGCGCCAGTGCATCGGCCTCGATGCCTGCCAGCTTTACTTCTTTCGAAAACTCTCTTTTAAAGTCTTTTTTGGTGCATGATGGGGCCTATATAGCCTATATCGGACGATCGAGCCTATCACTTTGCAAAGTTGGAAGCCCCCGGAACTCGCCATCCCGAATCCGAAACTTCCTGTTCGGGCGCAGAGATAAGGACTTCAAGCCTTCAATGGCAGAGCGAGGCCGGACTGACCCGGATTGTTTGAGGTGGATACCTGTTGTCTATCCTCCCATTCAAATTGCACATCGTCAAGAGCCTCGGGTCATTCGTCCGTCGCGGGCAGTTCGCAACCGCAAGGTTCCAAATGATCCGCTTGAGGTTTGAGGCTGTCCATGATTTTTGGCTCACCACAAAGATCCGAAACGAAACCCCTCACCGTACTGTACCCAAACCTTGCCAGGTACACGGGCCTGGAGGCTCGGGCAGCGCGGTGACGATGTCCTAGCTGCACACTTGCAGGGTCAGGCTACCTGGGTAGCTGTATCACCTCACACTAGCGCGAGCTACCCGCATCCCGCTGAGGCCATATTTGATGCCATGGCTTTCGGCCACTCTTCGCGACCCAGGGTTGATGACCTTTTTTTTCTGCTTGGCTGCTGCGAAGGCGGGCTTGCCTTCCTTTGCCTTCTCAGATTCTGAGGCCCCTAGGCTGTCTCAGACTTCCTAGGGGTCCGACAGGTCCTACACCTTAAGCTGTGTACGAGAACGGCACAGTTCCATACGGAGTTTCAGGATGCTTTTTGGGCTTTTTCAGGGATCTCACACGCTCGCCCCCCTCGCAATGCTAGGGCTTCGGGCAAAGCGGTCCGATCCGTAGGGCTCCTGCCGTCCTTGGCTGAGGCCTCGCTTGCGTCTAAGCCCTCACCATCCCTCACAGCAGCATCTTCAGCAACACGAGGGCCGCACTCAGAGGAAGGACACCACCATCTGCTGCTTTGAGCAGAATCTCGACAGCCTGCAAACGGAGAGCAAGATTCAACCTTTGAGCCCCGGGGCCCAAACTACTTTAGCCCTGGGAGCCAATCCTTGCATCCCATACTACGCTTACCCTTTGGGGTGAGCTGCGGTTGAAGGCGGTTGAAGGCGGTTGAAGGCGGTTGAAGGCGGTTGAAGGCGGTTTGAAGTTTGGTCCAAGTTTGGGGGAGTCCCCCCCCGAGCATTGCGAATGCCAGGACTGGAACTGGGGAGAACAAACTTACTCGCAGCATCTCGCAGGGCTCAGGACTTAAGAGAAGATTTGAAACCTCGACTCTCACACCTTCAACATGACCTAAAACCTCTGTGGACTCTAAACACACCTCTAAACTCTCGTGACTCTAGTAGCTTTCAGTAGTAGCTTTCAGCGCGTTGAACACTGAAGCCTGAGACCGATTGAAACCGGCGCCTGCCCTGCTTTGAGGCCAAGCTCCTGCCAAGAGCCCAAGAAGAGCTTCATGCCATCTCATGACACCGCAGCGCTGCAGGTGGGATGAAGGTGGCCCGGGGGTTGTCTTCTTGTAGGAACCGTTTTTGCTGAAAAACGTGTGTGCTGTGTTCTGGCTTTTGGCGCGTTGTGCCCTCCACAAATTTCAATTCCTTTCACACAGACACACACACACACACACAAGCAAACACAAACACAAACACACAAACACACAAACACACAAACACACAAACACACAAACACACAAACACACAAACACACAAACACACAAACACACAAACACACAAACACACAAACACACAAACACACAAACACAAAAACACACAAACACACAAACACACAAACACACAAACACACAAACACACAAACACACAAACACACAAACACACAAACACACAAACACACAAACACACAAACACACAAACACACAAACACACAAACACACAAACACACACACACACACACACACACACACACACACACACAGACACACACACACACACACACACACAGAGGTAGACGTTAACAAACATAAGAATGCTTAAACTCGCACATCCCTTCTCATTGGTTCGTGCATGCCTGCCTGCATGTATTCATTCTGCATTGATATCTTGGTTGCTTTCTTTCGTTGATTCATCTCATTCCTTGGATTCATGTCACTCATTTCGTTCATTCCATTCATTGCATTCACAGCATTAATTTCATTCTACTAATTCTGCTCATTTCGTTCATGTCGCTTATTTCGTTCACTACCACCACTTCCACCACCACAAATACCACTACTCCCACTGCCACTGCTACTGCTATCTTTAATCTCCCCAGCCCCAACCTTAACCATCTTGATTGACGCCCCAAAGCTCGGAAGGCCCAGAGCCCTGAGACTCCTCGGCCCGGTTGCGGCGCTGCACTTCGTAGCGCTCAAAGAGCGCGGAGGGCAAGGAGAGACCTGCTCAGGGTCTCTGAGAAGCCGAAGAGGGTTTTTCACGGATCAGCTGAACATGAACCTCCAAATCTGGGAGCCCACCTGTTGTTCCCGTGTCCAGAACCGCCACAAGCGGTCCTGCGACAACTGCGCAGGAAAAAGGCCGACTGTACTTTCGCTTCTGCCAGTGCCAGTCGAAACCTGCTTTCTTTTCGGGGAGGAACAGACTAATATAATACTCGCCGCACTCGAAGATTTTGCATAGCTCAGCATCCTACATCGCGAACCTCAAGGCAGTCGACCGTGATTGAGGTAGTGCATACATCTGTAAACTAATCCGTACCGTAGGGAGGGTTGAGGGAATCCTTGGTCGCTAGTCTTGAAAAAACACTACAACCGCATTGAAACATGAATAGGATAGCAAGTGCAGGGGTGTGTTCGCCTTCCAGTTCGAGGCGTTGGCCGCCCACGTTCAGAGCAGCTACCTGTCTCTTCCAAGATCGGTTTCGAGTGCGGCTTTGCTGGATTTCTGTGTGGCGTGGAGTTCAAGGCCAGCTGTGGGTGCGAGTAGGTGAGGATCATGGGTTCAAGGTTCGGGGGTAGCTCACATCACACATGACTGGATGTGCACGTCAGCGTGCCGTGAGCTTTGCATTGCATTTCGCAAGCCGGTGTGTGTCCGGGTGAGATTCTTCCTGACGCAAAAAAAAGGTCGGGGCTGAACGGTTGGGTTTCAAGCGAAGACATTCCGAAAAACACAGACCTTTTCCCCCAAGATGTCATCCTTAGACATCCTTAATACTTCATAAGTGCTCTCGAATGCTCCCAAATCGGAAATCTTGGGTGACAAAGGAGCGGCCACCCTCCCGGCCTCGGCAGCGTAGTAACGAACAGCCGCGCCCTGACTCCGCAGGTCGACCAAAGGGACCTGAGAGAAGGGCCCCCCCCCCCCCCCCGAAAAAAAGAACACTTGGAACCGCTGAGGGCTTTCTTCGACGTGGCCCGGTCTACAGTTTAGAACGCTGGGGCTTTAGATTCGGGCATGTACCGAGCATGTGCTGAGCTTGAATACAGTGTAAACGAAACTCCTGCAACTCCTCAACCTTTAAACCCCAAGCCTTACTGGGCCCTGAAACCTCACGCACTCTGATGTAAGGCGCAAGCGACAGCGCCACCATCTGCAACGGAAGGGCAGGAGATCATCAGGTCTTAGCTACACTAGTCGATACCGATCTTTTGCAAGCCGGAAGTCCACAGGACATCGAGGGCCTTCAACACTTAGTCTGACTTGAATTCCAGTACGGTTCGGGATTTATCCGGTATCCCCAGCAATGCCGCACAGGCAAACGACACGAAGAAGCACCTCTTGGGCCTCTGACCCGAAGCCACTCCTTCCACACATGTCACCCTATGGATAACACCATATAACACCATACAACACCTGAACAACTTCAACAGCAAAGGGTCCAAAAGGTTCGCCCATCAAGCCAGCCAAGCCCCTATTGCAAGGGTTTTGTGCAGCCAGCACTGGAAACCCACGAGATGCGGAATGGCAAAAAGCTGGTACGGTGTGGTACGGTGACCAGAAGGAAATGATTAGATGCGCCCCCCCGTCGAACACACTCTAACAGAAAGAACAACTTGCCGGACTAAGCCCTCAAGACGGAGAGAAACATAGAGAAACAAAAGGCGTGCAAGATGTGCACACTGCCACACCCTGCCTCTCGCAGGTGCCATCCGCGAGAAGGACAGGCGCTCCTCTGCAAAGTCTAGTAGTGCCCAGCTTTTGTGGCACGGAAAACTCCAGCAAATGCAGAAAGGGCCTCACTCCAACACTCAACCTAGTGACATGCACCAAGGTGCAAAAACAACCCACGTAGCTTACGTGCCTTATGTCGAACCTGCAGCTTAGCTCAAGGTAGGATCCCTTCACTCGGCAGAAGGTATTTGCACTTCTTGAATCCTTGGCTGGAAGCAGTCTGCCAATGCTGCCCTGTTTCAACCTGCTACAGGCTCAGCGGGCTCTCTTCCCGCGCCCAAAACCTGAACCCGATGTCATTCACCCTAAACCTTAAGCCCTAAACCCTAAACTCGCGCCTCCCCAGCAGCACGGAGGTCGACCGACAGAGTCCTCTGGAGTGAAAGTCGGAGAACGAAGCAGGGGGGTCTTTTTAGGAGCTTCTTGCAATGTCTATACCGGCTTGGTGCTGCAGAGAATTCAAGACTCTGCATTTGACGGCATTTCTTCTCAAGTGACCATTTGCCCTGTACCCGGTATTGCTGGAACTGCGGCCTTTCCCCACTTCGTCTTGGAACAAGGGCTTCACAAATGTCCAACAAGCTTGGTGTTCGGTTAAAGACATGCACCGATTTCAATTCGTGCCACGGTCAACAAAGGCTCTAACGGGTTTGGGACCTGGTATGAAACAAGCAGTTCATGGTTCTGTGTGCTGCTCCGATATGACCACCACGAGCACTGACATACTCTACAGGCTTGGGGCTATTAAGACCTTCTCGGCATCGAAGAGACGCGAGCACACTTCCCCTGACGAAAGCTGCGCGTCCTGACATCCGTCTGCCCGACAAGAGTCGGTCGGATCCTGGCAATTCGCATGTGGGATTCTTGAAGGCTCTGCAGGTGTCAGATTCAGATCTTGAAGTACAGTAGCTGTGCCCTAGTCGCTAGTCTCGCTACCGAACAATACATGCGAAGAAATGGCAGGCTCGTTTAAGGTCTCGGAGGCCGGGGTTGCCTGAAAAGTAAACTAGGCCCTGCTAGGCTTCCATATGAGCCTTCAACTTGGGTCAAGTGGGGACGGTACCTCTGCGTGTGGGCACAGACATCGCAGCGGTTGGTCCGGGGATAACAGCGAATTCAGCACAGAACGCGTTTTCGAATGCCAGCGTGTCCTAGGCATGTAGAGCTCTGGCTGAACAAAGCCATGCGACCCCTGCTGAGGCACCGCGGAGCGAATCTCCACAACCCCCTTGTGTGTAACCTTGTGTAACGGATGGACTGCACCACAGGCATGCCTGTTCAGAAACTTGCGAAGTCTCCAGTCTGGCTCTTGTAGGTCCCACATCGAAAGGAATGCGAAAGGGCGCAGCGCACAGAAAAACAGTCCCTTCGCAGTCTGAAAACCCCTGACACCAGCGAGTCGGAGGGAGTGACTTTCTCAGCCCCGGGCGTTGCCCCATTGGTTTGCTCGGTCTGGTCCGTGCTACTGCTACTGCTCGTGTCGTACTCAATCACCTTACTCTCGTAGTCACCTCTCAATCCCACCTGCTTCGCCGGCACCTTGGATCCATTCCGGATCTCCTCTCCGTGAGGCGTTCCCAAACTGCCCAGGTCTGGAGCTTGATGTACCCGGTGCTCAGCCCGGGTGACATAGCATAGCAGAGCTGGTTCTTGAACACCTGGACGTCTGCTTCATCGGCCGGCAGCGCGCCCAGCTGAACTTGATTCCGTCAAACGCGAAAATGAGGATAAGATGCTTTCCTCCACCCGAAGCTGACGACCCGATGAGAGTGCCGGAAGATGCGCGATTCAGAACAGCCACTACAAATCAGAAGACCAATTCAAACAGGTCATGGCGTTGGATGCAGTTACAACCTTTAGGGTTCTTTGTGTTGGCCGGCCTGGCTTGCCGTTCTCGCACCAGCCCAAGGAAGGCACCGCCGCCGTTGCCGCCATAAGACTCCACCTCCGGACGCGGGAGCTGAGGTTTATGGAGGGGTCTCGGGATTCTGGGGCTTGTCCAGATGAGGGAGGGGGGATGCAGGTTTCCTGTTGCATAGATACAAGTGAAAACCGTGGCCAATACACACGACCGTTTCACACCCACATATGCTGTTGCATGCTCTCTGACCCTTCTTCGACATACTCAATGGCTATTACTTGTAGCGACCAGAAGCGTGATCCTAAGGAGACTGCAAGCTCGCCAGGAATCATCCCCGAAATCCCCGAAAGCTTTGCAGAGCACTCCGGATCTGCCAAAAAGTATCCGCAAAACTCATGGCACCCTACCTCGAGCATGGTGCCGTAGGTGACGGACCTCGGCAGCATGTCAGACTTGGCCACTTAGCCTTTTTTTATCCTGCTGACTTGTAGCGCTGCACATCTCAGCACCCTCCAAAAACCGCGCGTCTTCGCAACAAAAACATCCCTCTGCTCGAACCCCCATACTTTGTTCTCATCGGTCTGAGCTGCACGAAATATTCACCCTGAGTTGTGGAGAGTCTGGAGTTCTCTGAGGTTGAGGGGGGCCCGAGATGGCCTCAGTCGAATCTTCCAAATTTCTCCTCTTTTAAAAATTGTGGGCTTCCCGAGGGTCAGGCCCAAATGGTCGTCCGCCCAGCTCCAGGGCATCCCTGTGGATTTAGAGGTGGGCCGGGTGTTAAGGGGCGTGGGAAGAGTGGCTCTAGGAGCATGGGCTGGATGACCCCAGAACCAGCACCAAACTGTACTCAGAATTAGTGAGGGGCCTGCCTCCACAAAAAAAACAGGTGCATTCGTTTGGCTCTCCAAAAAGCAGATTCTAAGTGCCATGGGAGGCTGGCGGGGGTTCAGCTTTGCTGTTTCGAGAACACCGAAACTGTCCTTCGCCAGGTCACCCGCGCAGTGCCTGCAGCAAAGACCTCAGTTTCACGGGCACAGATAAAGCTGGAACGTCAAGCCTAAACCTTAAAAACATAGCCCCTCAACCCTCAACCCTCAACCCTAACCACTGAACCCTGAACCCTTTAGACCCTAAACCCTAAATTGACAGAGGGGGTACCGACTTTCAAGTCTGAGGCTGTGGGTTTTTTGCCCGCAGCACGTCTGCAAGAAACGGATTGCAACTCCAGCAAGCTTGTGGTCTCGGCTGCTAGTAACTTAAGCAGCTGAGTTTTCGGAGATGTTGATGGATCACGGGCTCAAGGGCAAACACAGATAGTTGAAATTGAACCCTGCGCCCGAATGTTGCGATATTCAGCGTTGCTTTCGCATCCCGACATTTGGGCCGTTCTCGATGGCAAACCTCGAGAAACCTTCAGCCCTACCGGTGTCGGGAAGTGGAAGAAGACAAAATGACATTGGACCCAGGCTACTAACCTTAAGTGGACATTGTGCTTGGACTTCCGCGAGAGCATCAGCTCTTAAGCCCTCTGACCGTTGCCCAACTGCTACTCACAGCCATTCTGGCGTTTGCGACTTGCTGTGTCAGGATGCCACGGAGTTTAATGACCGCTTCGAGGGTCTCAACCCTTGAAGGCTCGGTGTGGAAGCCTTGGCCTTGGCGAATGCCCTGAGCCCAGGGTTCTGCATGAGAAGGCGCTCACCCAGCCCCCTCACCCTTCCCACCCTTCCCCCCCCCAAAAAAAAGAAACTATACTTGAAGTGCGGTCACCTCGTCAGTGTCGCCCAGGCCGGTGGGGCGGCCAGAGGCTGCTGTGGTGCCTTGGCTTGGCCCCGGTTGGCCCATCCTCTCTTCCCTCTCCAATTCCGACTCTGATCCCGATAACACTCTGAGAAGAAAGCCCCGAACCCGAAGCCGCAACACAGCCCCCAAAAACCGACCCCCTTCCGGCCCAGGCGCAGCCCCAGGCTCGGCAGTAGGAGGCACCTCGCCCACATGTCAAGCATGGGATTTGAGGGCACAAAAAAAGGGTTTTCCAACTTTGGGTTCTGGTTCTTGAGTTGTACCGTGAGTCCTCATGTGTTTCCGACAGGCACATGAAGCTTCAGAAGTTTGAAGCGTCAGTGGGTTGGCATGCTGGTCGAGCTGAGGCCCACGAACACCTATCAAGCTTCGTACCTAGACTTAGGCAAGGTCTTCATGACTCCTGCACGATCCTGCACGGCTCAGCCCCAAACCTAAGCCCAGCCAAGGGGAAGTTGAAGCAACGCTTTGCTAACAATCTTGGATTGCATCGAAGTTGACAGTTGAGAACATCGAAGAGTACGCACACACAAGGACACACCTCAAACATGCCAATCTCAGCACTAGCCAGCACGACCCATGTCACAAAGCTGTTGCTGTTTTTGAGCTCCAAACCATTTTCAAGCAGGTTCCATGGTGCCAAAACTTGACAGCAGTCTCTGAGAGAGTCTTGTCCCGACCCTGGATGGGAGTGTTAGACTCAGCCGCCTCATCGCTGAAGTGCCCCCACTGCCACAAAAAAATATGTTTGCGCCGTATCCCTGGCCTGCCCAGCCCCGCAGAGTCTCTAAGGTCTCCCAGACGTCCCCCGGAAAGAGCGGAGTCCACCCCAGCAGAAAACAGAAACAGAAAACAGAAACTGCATGGTACCTCACAGAGTGTATCGGAGTTTCCAAGCCCACATGGTCACTGCAGTCACCACGTGCCTTGCGTACCGATTCTGTGGTTTGGGGGTGGGGAGGAGAGGGCCTGAAGGTTGGCCCTGCCTCCTGGTAACACATGATACAGCTATGCCACACTCCTCATGGGGCTTACGAAAATAGGGAACCCCCATGTCCCCCAAACAGTAGGATTCCCTTATGGACCCCAACAAGGTACCCCTAATTTCGGAGACCACCATATGGTCCTGAGATAAAACGGGCTCCGGCAGAAGAGTCTCGAGCCTTGCCGTCCAAGGCGCAGCTGCGGGCGCGGCCAGAAGGCCCCCGCCCATCGCTACACGTGCTGACCTGAATTCTCTAAGGCACTCCAGAACTACTGGATGCGCTTGAAGGAGGGGGGGGGTGGGCTAAGGGCTGTGGTATGGTATACGCATTAGGCAGTTTAGGTGTCCGACCAGTAAGTGTTTCTTGCGCATTAAGTTAGACGTCGGGTTGTCTAGGAAACACTTTTCACCCCAGCCTCAACACACCCCTAAACCCCTACAGCCCCTTGCGACCTTCCCCAAAACCGACGGCCATCCTGTGCGTCAGCCTGACTCCCATATCACCAGATCTTTCATCCTACGCCCCTAGAGACCAAGGTGGGACCTCTGCGTTCCTCTTCACACCCTGGCCTACAAGGCTTTTTGACGGGTACCCTTAGCAAAGGACCCTTATGTGACCAGAGCCTTGACTTTCCAATTCGGCCCCCGCTGATTCTCATGATGTTCGCCCCAACAATAAAATCCTGCACTTCAGGCAGCAAGCCCGATACCCTAGAATACACAGACATTTTCCTGTCAAGCCAGGTGGAAGGAGAGGGATGGGACGTCATCGTTTATCTTCTGATTTCTTCATTGAATGAGAAAGCAGAAGGAAAGCTGAGGGTGAGGGAAAACCCCGGTCAATCCTTCTCACAGAACTGTGGCGAGCAACAAGAAGAACGGATCAAATGTAGAAAGGAGAAAGGGAATGAAGAGAAAACGTATTCCTTCCCCTTCGCCTCCTTTCAAACATGAGTTCCTCGCTTCTTGTATGAAGAGGTAGACAGACAAAAGCAGGACGGGATAGTGGCGATGGCGTGCCGCTTGTCGCTTCTTGCCCTTTCCTCCTCATTCTTTCCCTCTCATTCCTTGCCATTGTCTGAAAAAGAAGAGGCAAAAGGAAGAGAGGACGAGAGGTGAAAAAAAACGGTAGAGTTCCTGCTCTGTTCGGTTCTTCCATCTTCCAGTTCGTGAGAAGAAACAGGAGAAGGGAGCAGAAAAGTCAACTGTTCCTCTCTTAGTTTGAACAGGATAATTCTGCCATCCATCTTGCCTTTCACGTCCTGATTCTTTGGACAGGCTGAGGGCAGTGAAAGAGTACAGTGGCAGAGGAAAGGGAAGGTGAAGGGGAAAGGCTCCCTCTTGCCACACTTGTCTAAAACAATTATGGGTCTTTACCACAACAATATGCGAACCTTAAAATTGACCGGCAAAGAGTAGGATTCCCTTGTAATAATGCCCTTAAGTTCCGAAACTCCCATGTGGTCATTACTCACTTCGATCAATCCCACCTGAAGGAGATTTACCCAATCCTCATGCTGTGTGAGCCGCCGTGCATCTCTGCACAAATCATGAGATCGTGAGTTCCCTGAAAGTAAGAAGTTAACCTGGATCCTATCTGACGTGTGTGCTCCGTGGCCCGCCTTAGGCTTAACAGAAGTTGCCACGACTTTGATGAACGTGTACTCTGCAGCCGGTGCTTGTGCCTAATCCCATCAAGAGAAAAGATTTACCCGTTAACCGGATCCTGTGTGACATGCAAACCCTTAGCCCTTCGCGCGCTTGTCCCTATCTGGTTTGACATGCATGCTCTGTGGCCCATCGCGTGCTTGTGCCCAAAGTGTGAGCTCTGCAAACCAAAGGGATTTACTTAGTGGTGAGGCAAGAAAGAATATTTAAACATGTCCATTTCTATTTTTAAGCTGCTTTGAAAGGTGTGTGTCTTAAGCGTGTTCAACATGTTATTTACATACAGCAGAAGCCTGCCGTCAAATAGAGCATACAAGTCCTTCAAGGTCCCACGATGTGCCACGCAGACCGTGGCGCCGGCCAGAAGGAAGGGGCTCCCAGTGTCGACCACCGCACGGTATTGCCGTCCACCTTTGCAGTGCAGCGGGCAGGCAGATAGCGTGGTCTGGCACCAAAATGCGCTTCAAAGGTGCCGCTTGGCGTTTCAAGAGAATGCTGTCACTTCGGCGTGCTTTTTTCTCATTGCAGGCCACCAGAAGACGGCCATAAGAGTTCTCGCGCTGTCGCTGTCGAACGATTTGCCACGCTGCAGTTAGCAAAAATCACTTTACACTTTCCGTTCAGGTAGCTTAGACAGACGTCTAAAAAAGTCCTTTATACCATGCTGACAGCTTCATGCGGGCCACAGTTGTACAAGGCTTTGGCCTCTCACAATGCCTAGTTGAAGCCCTGCGTCCCCCGCCATAGTTGCGGCAGTCGCATCGACTTCAGCCCTAGAATGTCCATGAGCACTACAAGTCTTGCATTGCCTGGAAAAGCTCGCCGAGCCACGGAACTGAGTTCGAGGAATACGAGCCCTACATGGTAACCCTCCCGAGCCTCGTCACTTAAGACTCTCTAAGCTTCCTTAAGCTTCCTGCAGCGGTGCGTTGCACAGCGGATCGCGGCACTGGGTGCATGCTGCTATGTCCAGCGAATGGAAAATCAGTGGACATCAGGCATCCATCTCCAAAGCATAAAATCGAACCACCAAGCCCAGGCTAAACGCTCGCTCTCCTGTTTCCAGCCCAAGTCAGCCACTAGTCAGCCTAGCTGGGATGCCTGGGAAGGGAAAATGTGGCTCTACGTCCCAGGTTGCAGAATTCCATCCCGGAGGAAGCGGAATCCAAAGGAACTGTGAGACTAACCTGCTGCGCCCCAGCTTTGAAAATCGACACGTATCCTGAGCTTAAGGAAAAACCGTGCGCATTTGCAAACCAAAAGCGCGTTAAAGCGCTCTGCGAAGCAGAGGCCGTGGCCTGCATCATTGAGAGGTCGTTTCACACAGGTTTCACACATCCAGGTTCTGGGTGCAATTGAGGAGGGTTTTGGACTTCAGGGTCATTCACTGCAACTGCGAAAAACCCCCCATTCAACCAAATTCCCATTTGGGAGAAACATGGGTTTCATGGCGTTATGGCTGTTATGGTCTCATGATTTAGTGGTAGAATGGTTTGACGAGTCTGCCCATTAGGGGAAGCTACAGGCGGTGATCCTGCTTTTGAACTTTATGAGAATGCAATTTCCAAAGAAACAGATATTCAGATACCGGTATTGGAATATAAACAACTATGGAAAGCTGTAAGTATTCACAGACTAAGGCGAGTAGCTATGCAGGTCATTACACGTCGCATTGAAAGCGAAGTAGCAGTGCAGACTTCAGCATTAAAAAAAGACCGGAGCCGAGGTGCTATGACATCAGTACGGGTCTGCTGCTTAGGCCACTATTAAGATTTGGGGTTTACGATAGTAGGGGTACCTTGTCGGGGTCCTTTTTACAAGGGGATCCTACTCTTTGGGGGACTCGCGCGGGCACGTGTTATCCTACTCTTTGGGAGACTCACGCGGGCACGTGTTCTGGATCTGGCCGACACACTCTCTAAGTACCCAAACAATCTGCCCACCTCACGTGCCCCCAAAACCCCACGGCCCACTCACCCCCCCTGAGGTCCCGAAGCCTGGGAGCCCCCAAAACAGGAGAGGCCTCTCAGCTCTCCATGAGCAGCTCGCGGAGTAGGTCGGGCTGAGATCGTCCCAGGCGCTTGAACTGCGTGAAGAGCATGCAGCCCCTGCAGTGGCGGGTTTTGGTGGGATTTCCTGCAGTCCATGCTTGGAGCTCTTGGGAGAGCCGTTGTTGAGTTCAGAAAAATTTACCAGGGGGCGCTGGGCCTCTCCGGAGATTTCCGAAAGACTGGTGGATTCATCGATTGTGTGTGACTGAAGGCCACTACATGGCTTTTGTCGTTGGAAGGCACATAGAAAGGGGTCGTGGTTAAACCGGGCGCTGCCGTAGAAAGACAACACTGCAAGCCACAAGCCATGCCCCACAACGTGGACCCAAGCCCTATAAACTTCTAAAACCTCCTGAAACCATGAAAACTTAAACTCATCTCTACATACCCGAGTCTTAAACCCTAAACCCTAAACCCTAAACCCTAAACCCTGAATCTTAAACCCAGCCAGGGCACACGAGCAGGGCCAGGGATGCGATGCCTGCCACGGCCCAGAGCTGAAGCTCCGGCAGCACCTGTAGCGATGGGATTCCTCTTGCTTTTTAAGGGGATCTCAAGGGTGTGGCAAGCCATTGAGGACATTTAGGACATGAGGCTCATGCATGCTCATGCCCAGAGACCATCTCACTCGGCTTTCTGTTGATGTTCCTTGGGCCTTGCAGCTGATGAAAGCTTCATGAGCTTCGGCTATCCTGGCCATAAGCCCCCATACCCTTGAATCCTGATTCGAAGTCCTGGATCCTGAACCGCTCCCCGCGTCCGGCACGAGCCTTCCAATGGGCCATGAAGACTTTGGTGCTGTGCCAGTGGCCCAATGTTTCCTCAAAGCTAGAAAATAGATCGATGCTTGGGCTGGGGTACATGAGTGGGTTTCGCGTCGATGCCGAAAGCTCAGTGCATGATCGAGGGTGGTGTGTTGGGTAGGTATGTCTCTTCGGGCCTGACGACCGTTTTGCTTACAGTCGAACAACGTCCTTTTCGAAGGAACAACGGGTTTTTTTCATTTGCGCTCCACAGCCCATCGATTTCAGGTTCCTCTGCAAACTTCATGACCGGCGAGCAAGACGTGTCTCAGAGTCTGGGAGCCCTTTGCGAGCCCCAATTCAAAGGAACGTTGAGGCTTCAGGGGAACAATTCCTTAGCAAACTCAATTCCCTGAAGCCCTATGCTCAAGCCTTTCCGAACATTGCTCGACGACTTGGGTACCAAGACAGCAAACAAGTGTGGAACAACGCTCAACGCCTGGATTTTCGCGCGAGGCAATGCTGCGCAAGCCCCACGTGGAATCATGGCAGTTCTTTAGAAGGACTATCTGCAGTTGGGCGGCAGTGACCCGCTGCACCGCTGTGGGGGCGTAGCCTGGGCCCAAGATGTGCAGCGTGGCTCGTCACCAGGACATGCACGTAGGTTTCTGCGACCCGCCCACCCTCCGATCAGCCTCTCACGACATGATCAACCCGTCTCTCCTGTGCAATGACCTGTCTCTAAACATACTCTCAGCCCGCGTCACACCCCTGTACTGTTGAATCTTCCTTGCATATCGGCTTTGAGGCACAGAAGCTATCCAGGTCTCCCGAGCTCATGTGGACGCAGGGCACGCCAGAACGTCTTTCAACTCCCCCCGAAGAAGCTGGCGTTTTGGTAGTATCGTTTCTTGTGGAATCCCGTACGCGCGGACAAGCAACCCACACGAGTTGAAAACCACAGGAATCAGGGGGCTCATGCCCTGGAAAAACAGCCAAAGCACGACATTCTCAACTCCTCCCTAAAAGGCCTCCCCAATTAGGCCTCCCAATTGAAGGGCCCCGCAGGCACAGGCGAGAAACAAGCCCCGAATTCAGACCCCTACACCCTACACTTCATTCAGTCCGCGGCTTCTGAACCCGAAAATGCAGACTTCACGCCTCCAAGCCCCGAAACTCATCGACTGTACCTGCCCACATCTGCCAAATGCTGGCAAGGGACGGTAGCCCAGCACTAGCGACAAAGCCTGCAGTGAACTCCGGATCCTTGAGCAATCTTGCAACTGTTGCAGCTGCAGGCGGAGTCAGCGGAACAAATGTAACATGGGCCTGCGGACCTAAACGGCGTTGTCCGCGGAGTTTTTTTCGGAGTTGCCGTGGCTGCGGCAACCAAAGTGCCACGGAGCCCCCGGCAACAGGAACATCATGCAACCTCATGGAACCTCTTATGCGGTGCTGGTCTCTTGGGTCGTGGGAACCGAGTCACCGAACATAAAGCTCATCTTCAAGACCTGCAACCCGTGTCCGGAATCGGTGAGCCCTGCTCGAAAGCCCCTGGCCCCAAACTGACCAGCAGATCTAGGGAGCTCCTAAGGCATCAGCCTTGCTCTCTGAGGCAGCTTCGAGGCCTGTTTTATTGGGGGGGCTTGTAAGGGCTTTAAAAGGAGAATATGCACATGGCCAATTTGAAGCTGCGGGACACCACGAAGACGGCGCCCCTGAAGGGCCTCCTGGCAGATGTGCAGCATGCCCAGATGTGCCCCGAACTTACCCTTACAGCATGCATGTCGTGCCGAATTTGTGACGGGCAAGATTCGGCAAGGGCATGCCGGGAAAGCTGCCCAAAACCCCTAAAATGGCGGGGGGTAGACTCGGGTAGACGCAGCAAAACACAAGGTGGCCGGAGTGGTCGCTCTTTAAGAGCAAGAGTCAGACTTTAAGAATAAACCCCACGGACTTCACAAAAACATATCTAAGGTTTCGATTTCTTGGGGTGCCCCTCTCAACCCAAGAATCCCGAAGCTGCAAGCCCTGCCGACTGGTGTCCATGCAGTTGCACTCGGGCTTGTCACAGCTTAGGGAATCTCACGATGCAAACGAGTGCCGAGGACACTCACTAAGCCTGTCATGCCTGAAACTGCAAGTTCCACTCCTAAACTCGAAAAGCCTCCGAGCCCGAACCCAACTGATTACGCGCGACTTTCTTGATGTCCTGAAGTACACAACAGTCCCAAACATGTAGAAGGCACTCCAAACATCAAGGCGCTAAGCGGCCCAAGCGGTCCAATGGGGAACAAGGACAACACCACGACGACACCGTGACAACCCCTGCTCCCTGAAACCTAAGCCCGACTCAACCCCACTGGAAACCACCCCACACGTCGGAACAAGTCGGAGAGGCAGGAAGAACTCACCAGCGTTGCGGTTGGCCCTGGTTTCTGCGGAGAGCAACAAAGGAAGTCTCTGACGCTTCAGAGGGTTGAAGGTCCTGATAGAAAATCCTCGAGTGTTGGGTTTTCAGAAGGGATTGCGTATGGGTAGTTGTGAAGTCACGCTTACTGAAGACACTGACCTACGAGCCTAACGAGCCACTCTCTTTTCAAGCCCCTGAGCTTCT